GGGATGATGAGCACCTGTGCTGACCCAGGATGCAAAGTACAACAAAGGGGCTCACTCTCTGCTGGTGAGTATTGAGACACATGACACCTGCTGGGGCTTGTCCCCTGGGGTCTCCCCCACCAATCCCTGCAGCAGCTGAGCAGTAGCCTACTCTGGTTGCCAGGTGCAGGTTCAGTCCCAGACAGAATTCTGAGTTCTTGGCCAGTACTTAGTGGTGGAGGCAACTGCGAAAGCAGCCTTACCCCATGAAAAAGCCCAGGGCTGCTCCTCAGCAGTACTACAGGCAATACCAGGAAGTAGTACGCAGAGTTGTGGCAATATTGCCCCCAAAAGGGCAACCAGACCCTGATCCCTTTATTTTACCATGGGAATTCGTGATATGCAGCTATTGTTGGTCTTTTTGTGGTTCTCTAAATTTTGTGGAGTTTTCAATCAATTAGAAGCTGGTTTGATGTGAGAAGAAAAAGACATACTTTTCTAAAGGTTTCAGGACTAACTGAACAAAAATGTAAACTATTTGAAAGTCTCCGACTTGTTCATAGACAGTGTGAAGCCTTACAGTGATCTCTAAAGGATGCTTGCTTTGAGAAGGAGTCAACAGAAGCACAGAGTTGCCAGGCAGCCTATGAGAAGGTGGACAGATAGAAATAGAAACTTCAAGAGGAAATAATCTTTCTATTCAGGGAGAAGAAGAGAAAGCAAAGAAGAGAGATTTAAACATTTTCAACAACAGGAATTGAGGATGGCAGATATTTACAAAAGGATACAGTCCCTAGTAGAGCAATCAAAATCCCTTACTCACAACTAGCTGAAGTAAGAGTAATCTTATTTTCAATCAACAAAGAATAATGTGAGGGGGCAATAACAGATGGTTTGAATAAAAAAATCCCAACCTCAGGCAAGCCAAAAACAGCTTCTACCAAATTGCTGAAGTATAGAAAGAACAAGTGGGTGAAACGAGTGACTAGAAAATAACATTCAAAAACTTCAAGGTATAAGCACAAGTTCTGCCTGAGACAGAAAATCATATCAAGTCTCTGACAGAGCACTTGTTCAAGACCAAAGACTAGGCTTCTGTGCTTGGAGAAGACATAACAGATAATGGTAACTTGGAATGAAAAATAAAGAGTTAATCAGAAAATGGTCCTCACTTACATCAGCTAAAAGGAGCTTTGGAGAAACTGGTCTATGGTGCTAAGCTAAATGAATCTAAAATGCTTTCAATAGAGAAAAAATTAACCAAAACAGAGTTTAAACCTCAATTTTTAGGAAAAGGTCCTCATATACCTGGCGCTGCATATACTGCATCTGGCAGAAAGCATTGCTCAGATGGTCTCTCACCACTGGGTCGGCCTGGATCTTCAAGGATACCTTTTAGCTCTCTTCTAATTGTGTGGGAGCAGCCATTCGGATTCCTACCTTTGCCTCGAGGTGAAGGAAAAAAGAGGATCAAGAGGCTCCCAGAATCCTTTGGAACCTTAGGTTAGCAATCAAGGGGAGATTCCAGCTATGAGAGGTTAACTGATCCTCAAAGAGCAGCACCTTCTGTCTGACACTGGGTTCTCCTCACCTCCATCACAACAGGACTATGGGATGATGATCCCTCTATCAGGCCAACCATATCTTGATCCAGATCTTCCTCTGCAAAGGCATGACAGATTTCATTGTAATGCAGGTAGACCATCTGGACCAAAGAAACCTCATAACCTTTAATACATCTTCTTTGGCCAGAGTGGACAGGCCAATACCTTCAGAAATGGAATCCAGTACAGATGATACCACAGATCTTGGTAATTCAAAGCAAAGTGCTTAGGTTTTATCCTTTACCCTCTTCTTCAGGTGGAGGTTAAGCCTTTTTAATCCATCCAGGGAGCCAGGTCATGAGAGAACCTTTACTTCCGCCTTCCCTGAGAAACATGGATGAAGCATTTTGAGATTATTTTCTACCATTTCCCCAACCCACGTCCTGTATCCCCAATATCTTCCTCCTAGAGCTGGGTTTCCCCTCCACCCCCCATGTTCTGAAAGGAGAAAACAACCATTCAGGGCCAACTCCACCTTTTAAGGAGTCTGCTACTGAACACCCACAACCACAAGAAACCTGACCACATTTTTTATTTCTTCTTAAGGGTAATTTTGCCAGAGCTCTCATTTTCAGCTCAAGTAACTGTTACCACTTGTCACCATACTTTTGCTCAAGTTGAAGTTTAATGCAACTGAAATTCTCAGGAATAGTATTCTGAAATAAAGAGCATTTAAATATGAAAAAAATTTACATGCTCAGATCATAAGTCTGTATGAACTATAACTTACTAAAAATGAACAAAGCACATATTTTATTGTGTCGAGTGACAGTTCCCGTATGTGACTCTGATTTTGCTTTTCTGTGGGTGAGAAGAGTTCCAAGGACAACCAATTTGATTTCATTTTGCTATTATCAATCATAATGTTCACTTTACCAGTTGGACTCAAGAAAAATATTCCTAAGAATGGGAAGTGGATGAATTTAAATAACCTTCTGCCTTGCATCACTGGGATTTTTTCTATGTGATTTTTATGCCTCTGGGAAACATCCTGAGCTGTAGTAAGAGCTGGCGAAACTCTGACCACTTTTGGGTCTTCGAGGACCAGGAGAATAAGATTAAGATTATATAACTAGATTATAAGATTCTTATGGGAAATGTAAGATGTAAAAATTATCATCAATAGACATGCTTTTGGGAGCAGGAATGTCCTCAGCTTTGCCTCCCCCGCAACTGGCTAAATAAAATACCTAAGCCTAGAAAAACAAGCCTAACCAGTCCTTGAGATTACATTGTATGGAAGTTTTGAATATTGCAGTGTTAAATATGATTGGTCTAAAAAATACTAGACTCACAAAATGGATAACATTTATTTAACTTTATTGACTTAATATAACTATTTTTGCTTGCCCTTTAAAAAAATAACAAATTATTCCTTAGTTTTTACCAGAGGCTTGCTAAGATACGCTGAAGTCTAGGATGCTTTTAGTAAGTTTCCCTATTTAAAACTCTCAAAAGGGTTTTGATATAAAAAACAAAAACACTAAGAAGTGGTAATTTAAGAATAGGTTAACAATGGAATAAAACATTTTATCTTGGGTAAGTATTTCTGTGTCTTCAGTATCTAAGTTAGGATGCATCCAAATTTTAAAAATAGTTAGAAACAAATATTTAAATTAACAAAATCGGATAGTTTTATAAGAACATGGAATCTGGGGTCTTCAACTGTCAAAAGTGGTGAATAATAAGAAAATACAAAGAAACTAGGAGGACATTAAAAACACAGGTTAAAATAGTATTGATATAAGGGGAAGAGATGTAACTCCCAAACTTAATAGATATCCAAAATGCGAGTTCATGTTCTCTAAAATCAAAGAATGAATTCTAGGAATAATGAAGGTAAAGAGTAGGAAAAATTTATTGGGAGAAAAAAGCTTCTACCTAAGAGAGACAGAAGGGGGACAGGAAAGTGGGTTGCCCACTCACCCCACTTTTCAAAGATGTTTTATACAGCAAGGCCATGTGGTAAGGCCGGTACAAAACTATAAGACCCAATGGAAATTTACAAGGTGGGCATGAGGTGGGACAAAACCATGACCAACCAATAAGATTACAAGTGCAGTCACCCAGGTAATATTGATTAAATGGGGATCAAATGGGAAAACAAGTCACATACAAGGAATTTCCCATTTAGAATATCAGTCACTGCTGTCTATCTCTAGGAGAAATAGTGTCTCTTCTTTTTATAATGCTAACCAGTGAATGAGCCTCAATTGTTCTCCATGTTGGCTCCTAGCTGTGTTGGCTCCTGGAAGGCGGTGCCTTAAGGGAGGCCCTATCTACCTGCCAATAAGATATCTAATTAACTTACCTATCTATAATAATATCTAAAACTTATTAGCTCAGAAAAAAAAAATCGAATGACTTAAGGGAAATGCATTTCCAGCGATATGAAGTGAAGATAGGGATTGTGAACTACGAAGTTTCCAAGTAACCATCCTGAGCTAAAACGCAGAAGCAGTTTCCTAAGTGCTTTCAGCGAGGCTGTAAGGCCTGGGTGCCCCCATTTTATCCCAGCATTCTCTTCAGTACAGAATTTAGCCTCTAGGAAAAAGCAGCAGGGTGTGGTGGGCGCGCTTGTAATCCTCACACTCAACGGGGCAGGGCCCCAACCAGTCAGAGAAATAACTGTAAATTACTTGCATAGCATCAGATTTGGGTTCAGGATGAAGAACGCCCACGATTAGGTAATTAATTACCCGATCCACCCAGAGGAGAAAGTTTACAGTGCAGTTAAGATAGTCTTGAAAGGGTAGTTCCCGCTGTTTTCTTGGCCCAATGGGCACGTGAATGACCAAAAAGTTGGAAGATATGTTCCACAGCCGGATTACAGGGCAACTGGCTGGATTTAAAATGACAAATGTTAAAAACTGAGACCCAGAAATGTGACACTAAAAACAGTGCAGTATGTGGATGTGTTTGGACATATATAGACAGACCGGATAATAACAGACTGGGCGAGTGGTGTCTCTTTCCTCCCTTTTCGGCACAGGGACCCGCGCCGCGCTTCTCTGAAAGTGGAGCTCCGCAGACCACCGCGCGGGGGCGCCCACTCACCTGCGACCCATAGGCGGAGACCGCCGCCCCCCACCCCCCATCCCCGTTGGCTCCCACCCTCTCTAAAATGAATTCCAACAATATGAGGACATTTGGACACAATTGTAAAATACAGAATCCATAGATCAAGATGTATTTCATCTTCTTAACAATAAATGGCTAACTTCAAAACTGTTAGACACTGACAAGATACAGATGAATGAAATGCGCCAGGGCTGGGGCTGTGTCTCAGCGGTAGAGCACTTACCTAGCCTGTGCATGGGCCTGGGTTTGATCCCCAGCACTACGATAGAAAAAGAAAATATCTGGTTTGTGTACTTGTATGTAGCGTTCTTGTTTTGTTTTGCTTGTAGTCAACGGAGTTCGTCCACCAGGGAGGAGGACAAACACTGAACAGTGCTGTTAGCTCTGAAGTCAGTCTGCAGGAGCAGCGGAGGTTAAGACCGAATGCATCTAAATTCTGTCATCTGGTCCACATTTTTCTACCTTGTACATGAGGATATCTTGAGAAATTCTGCTCAAAGTACTACTGAAATCAAGGTAATATACTAGCTAAGTATTCTGACACCAGTGTAGTAATTAATCAAAAATAAGATTACATAAAGTGCTAACACAAGAAAAAGTTTCCCATACCCCGAACCTATCTTGACTGCTCACACTTTTCGGATTAGACCACTTCAGTTATTCTATCTGCAAGTCTGCTAGCACGTTTCTACTATCTCTACACTGCTATTAAATGCATCTGGTAATTAAAAAAAATTTCATACACTGTACTTCTCTAGAATTTTCATTAGATCCTTTATATTTATATATATTATAATACATGCATATAATTTTTTTTCTCTTCTGTGATTTTCTTCCATCATTATGAGAGATTTTTTTTTTTTCCATTTTCACTCTTGGCCAAAGTTATACTACTTTAAAAATCCATGTCTACTGTCCAACATGTGGGCCACTTTGGATTTAGTCTCCACTGATTGCCTTTTCTTTTGAGTTTGTTTCATTTTAATGTTGGTATATAATTGGACTATATCCTGAATTGGTAGATTTTGATTTATTCCTCTGAAGAATTTTGATTTTTTTGTTTAGTAGGCAGTTTACGTGGTTAACCCCATGCTCCAAATTCATTCTCCTTGGAATGGGCAACAGATGAAGCCTCTCTTCAGTGCTTGAGGTTTTAATTAGGCTTTTGTGTCAGCACCAAGCATGTAGAGCTCAGGGATCAGTTGGAGGATTGAGGAGTGTGGCTCCCCTCTTGTAACTCTCTCCTTGTCAGGACTTCATCCTTAGGTTTCAGATTCTCTGATCACTCTGAACTTTGTCCTCTGATTCCTTACTTCCTCAGACTTTGGCTTTTATATGAATTTTCATGGCTGAGTGGCAGTGCCTGGGGGTTGTCCTAAGGTATTAAAAACATGATTCCCGATGCCCTACCGAGGTCCTGAGTTGCACAGAACACGCCGAATCAGCCCGCTGCAGACAGGCAGGTTTGTCCATGCCCTACCGAGGTCCCCAGTCGCTCGGAATGCGCCGAATCAGCCCGCTGCACACAGGAAGGTCTGTGCACGCCCTAACGAGGTCCTGAGTCACGTGGAAGACAACGAATCACCCCACTGCAGACAAGCAGCCACCTGGTTCCACACTAAAAAGGCACAGAGGACACCAGACCACAAGACAAAGGTACTGAGTCCCGCTGTTCCCGGCCCAGAGGTAGGGGCTTCTGAGCCAGCATCCCACTGCTCCTGGTCCAGAGGAAGGGGCTTCCCAGCCACCATCCCTCCCGCTGCTCGCAGCCCACAGGAAACGGCTTTTGGGTCACCATCCCTACAGCTGCTGCCGGGCCCTGTCCCATCTCACCCAGCCCAGAGGAGGTAATCCCCGCAGGCGCTAACAGCCCCCCACCCCAGTCAAAATGAGAAAACACATAAATAAGTCTCAAAACCAGACTTCCAGATCACCTACAGCAACCCCAAA